CACACACACACACGCACGCACGCACGCACGCACACACACACACGCACACGCACGCACACACACACACACACACACACACACACACACACACACACGCACGCACACGCACACGCAGGCACACACACACACACACACGCACCACACACCAGACACACGCACACACACTGTTTCGATACTTTTCTGGACGCTCGAAATTATTTGTGTGGTGTGGTCCTTGAGTGCGATAGGAACAGCATTGGATTCAGCACGATAAACGGGTCCTGTGGAATGGGTCATGACATTTGGGGGATCGACGGTATGACAAAAGTCATGGCGTCGGGGGTCTGCGTAGGATGGGATCCAATGGTGGATTTACGTTGTCTGAAGCACCTCGTCCTCAGGACCCCACCCCTCGGGACCCCATCTTCGAAACACCGACCACGTTAGCACCGCCTTGCCACGCCTCGCATCCGCGTCATGCAGACATCCTAATAACATGTTCACGTCGCTCCCCAAGGGGCGACGCGCGCGCTGAGACACCTTATACTAACGCCTTACACTGTATGATCCTTGCTTTTCGGGCGGCGCCCTGATTGAGGGGGTGATCGCGGAAACCCCTTTCTCGGTCCCTCGGGGAGCGGGTTATTTCAGGCAACACGCTTTGGGGTGTGGCAGCGAGGCGATTGCGAGTAGCGCCGAGTGCCGAAAAGTGTTTGTTCTCTGACCGGCGAGTGCAAACATCGTGAAACGGTCTTCTAAGCTGCCTAGTAAAGAATCTGATGCTGGCTGAGGCGTCTGGTTGCGCACCGGCAGCCCCAGCCGCCCGAGTGGCCCCGGAGCATTTTCTTTGGGTGGAGGGCAAAGGGTGAAGTCTGAACTGACGTTTCGATGGATGCTCCAGGCTTGAACCTGCAAGCGGTGAATCACAACGGATTGCGTTTCGGGGAAACGTAAGACTCGAGTACGCCGGAACTCGGGTTTGTCGACTTTTTTTTGACGAGCCTCGTCATTGGGCCTCGCCATTTTTCGGATTGGGCCTCGTCTATTTGCGTCCAATTTCGGATTGGGCCTCGTCATTTTTCCCAACCATCCTGTGGTGTTGGGTCCTCGTTTTGAAGAGACGGTGCCCGCGTCCTCTCCTCTCCTCTCCTCTCCTCCTCTTCCCCCTCCTCCCTCCTCCTCCCTCTCCTCCCTCCTCTCTGCGTTTCACCCACCCATTACAGCGCTTCGTGGCTCCATAGGGAGCTCCACCGAAGGCCCCAGTGGGGGTGTTCGCATGCGGTTCCCCCACCCAGGGCAGCGTTTCGTGGCCCCATAGGGAGCTCCACCGAAGGCCCCAGTGGGGGTGTTCGCATGCGGTTCCCCCACCCAGGGCAGCGTTTCGTGGCCCCATAGGGAGCTCCACCGAAGGCCCCAGATGCGGTTCCCCCACCCAGGGCAGCGTTTCGTAGCCCCATAGGGAGCTCCACCGAAGGCCCCAGTGGGGGTGTCCACATGCGGTTCCCCCACCCAGGCAGCGTTTCGTAGCCCCAGAGTTCCACCGAAGGCCCCAGTGGGGGTGTCCACATGCGGTTCCCCCACCCAGGGCAGCGTTTCGTAGCCCCATAGGGAGCTCCACCGAAGGCCCCAGTGGGGGTGTTCGCATGCGGTTCCCCCACCCAGGGCAGCGTTTCGTAGCCCCATAGGGAGCTCCACCGAAGGCCCCAGTGGGGGTGTTCGCTTGCGGTTCCCCCACACAGGGCAGCGTTTCGTGGCCCCATAGGGAGCTCCACCGAAGGCCCCAGTGGGGGTGTTCGCATGCGGTTCCCCCACCCAGGGCAGCGTTTCGTGGCCCCATAGGGAGCTCCACCGAAGGCCCCAGTGGGGGTGTTCGCATGCGGTTCCCCCACCCAGGGCAGCGTTTCGTAGCCCCATAGGGAGCTCCACCGAAGGCCCCAGTGGGGGTGTTCGCATGCGGTTCCCCCACCCAGGGCAGCGTTTCGTGGCCCCATAGGGAGCTCCACCGAAGGCCCCAGTGGGGGTGTTCGCATGCGGTTCCCCCACCCAGGGCAGCGTTTCGTAGCCCCATAGGGAGCTCCACCGAAGGCCCCAGTGGGGGTGTTCGCATGCGGTTCCCCCACCCAGGGCAGCGTTTCGTGGCCCCATAGGGAGCTCCACCGAAGGCCCCAGTGGGGGTGTTCGCATGCGGTTCCCCCACCCAGGGCAGCGTTTCGTGGCCCCATAGGGAGCTCCACCGAAGGCCCCAATGGGGGTGTTCGCATGCGGTTCCCCCACCCAGGGCAGCGTTTCGTAGCCCCATAGGGAGCTCCACCGAAGGCCCCAGTGGGGGTGTTCGCATGCGGTTCCCCCACCCAGGGCAGCGTTTCGTGGCCCCATAGGGAGCTCCACCGAAGGCCCCAGTGGGGGTGTTCGCATGCGGTTCCCCCACCCATGGCAGCGTTTCGTGGCCCCATAGGGAGCTCCACCGAAGGCCCCAGTGGGGGTGTTCGCATGCGGTTCCCCCACCCAGGGCAGCGTTTCGTAGCCCCATAGGGAGCTCCACCGAAGGCCCCAGTGGGGGTGTTCGCATTCGGTTCCCCCACCCAGGGCAGCGATTCGTGGCCCCATAGGGAGCTCCACCGAAGGCCCCAGTGGGGGTGTTCGCATGCGGTTCCCCCACCCAGGTCAGCGTTTCGTGGCCCCATAGGGAGCTCCACCGAAGGCCCCAGTGGGGGTGTTCGCATGCGGTTCCCCCACCCAGGGCAGCGTTTCGTAGCCCCATAGGGAGCTCCACCGAAGGCCCCAGTGGGGGTGTTCGCATGCGGTTCCCCCTACCCAGGGCAGCGTTTCGTGGCCCCATAGGGAGCTCCACCGAAGGCCCCAGTGGGGGTGTTCGCATGCGGTTCCCCCACCCAGGGCAGCGTTTCGTGGCCCCATAGGGAGCTCCACCGAAGGCCCCAGTGGGGGTGTTCGCATGCGGTTACCCCACCCAGGGCAGCGTTTCGTAGCCCCATAGGGAGCTCCACCGAAGGCCCCAGTGGGGGTGTTCGCATGCGGTTCCCCCACCCAGGGCAGCGTTTCGTGGCCCCATAGGGAGCTCCACCGAAGGCCCCAGTGGGGGTGTTCGCATGCGGTTCCCCCACCCAGGGCAGCGTTTCGTAGCCCCATAGGAGCTCCACCGAAGGCCCGCCCCGGTGGCGCAGTCCGCATGCGGTTCCCCCATCCAAGGCAGCGCTTCGTGGCCCCATATGGAGCCCCACCGAAAGCGGCACCCACAACGCGTTACCAACAATTGCTTATGGTTGGGTCTTTCGCCAGGATAATTATGATGGCCCCCGTCAGGCCAGCCCGAGTCCCCCGAACCCGAGTCTTCCTCTTACGGCTCCCCGAGAGTTTCGAGGTGCAACAGCCCATATGAGATTTACCCTGAGTCCTCCACCCCGGTCGTGCTGGCGAGGAGGAGGAGGAGGGGGAAGAGGAGGAGGAGGAGGAGGAGGAGGAAAAGAAGGGGGAGGAGGAGGAGGAGGAGGAGAGGAGGAGGAGGCGTGCGGAGGGAAGGAGTGAGGGGAGGAGGAGAAGTTGGAGGAGAAGGAGGAGGTACGGAGGCGGAGGAGAGGGGAGGAGGGAAGGAGGAGGAGGAGGAAGAAGGAGGAGGGAGGAGGAGGAGGGGGGAATGGAGGAGGAGGAGGAGGAAGGGCCCCCTCCTGTCCGCACCCTGGTCGTGCTGGCGAGGCAGGCCCACGGGCCGGCCTGCGCCCACCACGGCAGGCCTCTCCGCGGCGCGAGGGCCGACCCCGCCGCCCCTCACCGCAAGCGCGCGCGCCGCTGCTCGCAGGGTGCCCACTCGCAAACGTCCGAACCGAACAACAAAAGCATGCCTTCCTCCTCCTCCTCCTCCTCCTCCTCCTCCTCCTCCTCCTCCTCCTCCTCCTCCTCCTCTCCTTCCCTCCCCCCTCCCCCTCCCTCCCCCTCCTCTCCTTCCCTCCTCCTCCTCCCCGCCTCCTCCTCCTTCTCCTCCTCATCCTCTCCCCCTACTTCTCCTCCTCCCCTCCTCCTCCTCCTCTCCTCCTCCTCCTTCCCCTCCTCCTCCTCCTCCTCCTCCTCTTCCCCGTACACCCCACGCGGCGGATCCAGGCCATTTGCTTCACGAGTAGTGGAGCGCGCCTGTCTGAATACAGCCTGGCGGAATCACGGCTGGCTGGCCTCAGCAGGCCTCCCGAAGGCAGAGGCGGCCCCGACACCCCGTGGAGGTCCGTTGGGGCCGCTCGGGGGGCCCGCTGAGGCCAGCCCCGACTGCCTGGGGGGGAGGGGTGCTGCCCGCGCGCAGCCCGAAGCCTCGCCGTCCAGGTCGCCTCCGTCGCCCTGTGGGCCCTCGACGACTACTGGGCGTTCACGCTCCTGTCGCTGGTCAGCATCCTGGGCTACGAGGTGAACGCGGCCGTGACACGGCATCGGTCGATCAAGGAGCTGCACAGCTCCGTGCCGCAGCCTGGGCAGGCGCAGGTTTCCTGGGCGGTCCGGGAAAGGCCGCGGGGGGCCAGCGCACTCGTGGTTGGCCAGATGCTCAGT